CGAATATACTTGCCCACAGCAGTACTCTGATGCGATCCAGATGCTCGTGAGCGACGGGGACGGACTCGTGCAGTTCAACGAGGGACGTGGCAAGGAGGTGCGGGTGAAAGCAGCACGACCAAGGATAGTGTTGGACGGCTCTGGTGCCGGAAGATATCCACGGTGAGACACGGGGGAAAGCTATCTTGGAATCGGTTTCGGACAAGATCCAGCGGGCAGTGGGATGGGACGTCCAAGAATGAGATTAACGATTGCCGTGTCGGTCCTAGTATGTAGTCGTGCGCTGGTAGATTTATTTCTTCGTTCCGCCTATTTGCTGATCATTCTAGTTTCTTCGGGCTCTGTGTGTAGTAGAAGGAGCGAGAAATCGTGGATTGGATCGGAAAGAGCAGGTTGAAGTTCGTCGCTCAAGTTTGTGGTCGAGTCGGGAAGAGTGAGGGAGTTTGATCGCCGATTTGAATGCCGCGTTCTGGCTCGCACTCTCATCCTGGAATTCCTGCTCCTTCCTGTTCCTTTAGGCCGAAGCAACTGGTAGACTCTACAAACTCTAACTGGTTCAGTGGCCAAGCTCGAGTGATCTTGACTTTTTTCCAATCAGCAACGGCGAGATCACCAATATTTTACTGCTGGCAATCTGCGCATCGAGGAAAATCGTCGCTCTTGCTTGCCACTTTCGCCTGCGGTCGGTGTGCTGGCTCCCTGGGGCTCAGGCTGTCGGTTTGCCGTTGCAAATAAATCGCGCTTCGAGCGCTCGAGCCTTTATGTAAGGTTAATTATCGGCAACCGAAAGTCTCTGAGGTCTCCAGTCGTTCTTTTAGCGGCGCTCCGTCCTACCTAGCGGTCCCAACCATTCTGTTTGTGGCAGTTCAATTCTTTCTGTCTTTCCCCTAACGGTTTAATTGCGACCAGCTTGAAGCCGATCTCGGGCCGATACGACATCTTCCACCACGCAGCTTCCTTACAGCTTCCTGCCCTGCTGCGTCCACCACTGCTGTGGAGTCCTCTTCCACCACCACCGAGTCCGTTTTTCTAGGGTCCTTAACACTGGGTAGCCACTGGAACAAGTTCGTCTCGTTGAAGCCGCGGCGAAAGAAGTCATCAGTGAGATGGAATTCCCGGTCGGAGAAAGCTGAAACTGACCCTGTCTCGAAGCGGGTGTCTTCAGCCCCTTGTATTCAACCAGCGAAATCCATCGAGGCGCACTCAAGTCATCGCGCCCGCCCGTCAGCTATGGAACCTGCAACAATCTCAACCCGATGTGCGTCCTTTGAGTTTCCCAGATACCTCCCATTACTTATATATCTCTTCCTCAGTCTGCTTCCCAGATTCAGACCTCACCATTGCCTCCTCCGACAACATCCTCTTCAAAGTGCACCACAAGCACCTCTCCGTCCACTCCGATGCCTTCGCCAGTGCGGAAAGCGCAACCAGACCGGAAAACGGGGGCGAGGTTGTGCACCTCTGCGAGACTGCCGACGTGCTAGAGCTGCTATTCCAATACATGTACCGACAGCCCCAGCCCGATCTCAACACGGTGGAGTTTGCGGTGCTCGCGGGCTTGGCGGAGGCGGCAGAGAAGTATGTGGTCTATTCTGCGCTGGGGTGGTGTCGTGCCAAAATGAAGTGAGTTTGTTTTATATTTGAGTTGGCTGTTGTGTTAACTCTTTGGGTAGGGAGTTGGCTGCAGAGCATCCCTTGCAAATTCTCGAGTACGCTGTGAAGCATGGCCATCCTGACCTCGCCAGCGAGTCCGCCCAACACAGCATGGGAATCTCGGTCGCCGAGGCCATGAATGTCCTCACACCCAGCACGTTTGAAAAATGGGTCCGTTCCAATTGCACTTCACCTTTGAACCATATCTAACAAATCCAAGGTCTTATTCCAAGAACGCTACACGAAAGAAAAACTTCACTTCTTCCGTATCATGACCAAATACCCCGATGACATCCCGCTGCTTGCAAAGTGCCTTGTTGTCCCGAATCCGTTTCACACTTACAGCACGGATTTGGAGGCAGCCGGGTATAGGGAGAGGTTGGGGAGGTTGAGAGTGGGGTTGAAGTTTGTTGCGGATGCTCCTCCTGAGGAGGATGTCAAGTGTGAGTTGTGTTTTAAGTATGCGGATGCTTGTGTAGGAAGGCTGATGATTTCTTTTCCAGGATACAAGTATCATAGTACATGGATATTTCCCTTTTACAAGTCATTTTTATCATGGAGGATGTAAATCCCTGAATGCCAGGACAGAATGTTGGTCATTTTGAAGTCGACATGAACTCCATCTCCATCATTCTCGTGACATGCGATGGAGGAAAATCTTCACGGTATGTGTAGATAGGATTGGGATCCCGAAGGCTCTGCTGTATAAGCCCTGGACCAATAGTCCTCCCTGCTAGCACAGCAAGGATCTCAGAAGTTTGCTGATGCCACCGCTCATGGAAGAGAATCTACATGAACATTGGGCAGTTTGCAGGCCAGGTGATTTAACACTTACCCAGGTTTCGAAGATATTGATTGGGAGGATTTCCATTGCCGCTGCGACACCGCATCTCATACTGTACTGGGCAGACTGGTTGGCCAGTTCAACATGGTTGTGTTGTGCCGCATAGCGAAGGACCTCCAATGGATGTATGGAGGTAAAGTCCCTGCTCGGTGTGAGGCCCATATAAACACAAATCAAAATAACTACACACTTCATCCTCATTCGGCAGAGTGTCAGTGCTGAATAGACCTCGTACTTCTCAGCAGCTTCAGCCAACCCTGCGATCAATGCAAATTCCAGGACTTGCAAATTCGGCTGCGGCTGAGGATACATGAACTGGAACAGCAGTTCAAGGGTTTCAGAGCTTTCCGAGAGCTCCACAATGTCCTGGCCATTCTCAGGTTGTGTTGAACTTCCAGCACCGGCAAAAACAGGAGAATGAGCCTCCAAATTCCGGCGGTAGACCTTGAAAAGGACACCATCCGATGAGGAGATGGTGAGATCCGCATCGGCTGCACAGACTGGAACAAAGTTGAACAAAGGAAGGTGAGGCACATGAAAAAGGTCCTTACATCGCTCGGATGTCTTTGGTGCTGCCATACCACTGAGAGATGGTCACCGAGATGGTGGGAGGGGACAAGGTGTGGGAGGCAAGTTACGACACCCAATCTCATAAATAGGTCATGTGGATTCTTCCGGAATGATGTTCCTTGGACCTGAGGCACATGTTCAAAGTGTTTTGATCCTTCCCTATTAGTAGTTCCTCCAGAGTCCAGACTGGCCCCCAGTTTTAGTACCGAAAAAACACAAGGACTTGAACTGCACCTAAGTAGTACAAGTATTCATACCAATTTCCCTTGCGAGGAAGAGTTTATGAACAAGCCCTGAAGATTTGTCCCGATCCATCAGGTCAAAGGCATTGAACAGGGTGATGTTCTCCTTCTAAGGATGTTTTGCTTTAGGGCACTGTTTATCATTCCCGACAGATTACAAACCAGTTTAAAAAACTTGGGTTCATAAACAGGCTGTTCATAAAGCTGTTTAAAAATATACAGGAAGTGTGCCATAACGTAGAAGTGCAACACAAGTTAAGTTAAGTTAAGTTAATGCCTACGGGCCCACGCAGGGCACAGCAAGATCAAGTTGTTCGAAACTTTCCGGCGTTCCAAAAAATCCAAATGAATTTTCAAACACTCAATGACATCATATGAGCCAGATGACAACAGGATTTGCGCAAAAACACCCTGAGAGCCCAGAGAACTCCTCACCTTTGTGTCGATACCACATTGTTTTATTGCAATTTTCATAAATAATGGTACTCCCTGAAAAAAAAAAAAAAATGAGTTGGGGAGGGCGCAAGTTCGAGCCGCGATGCCGGTATCATTTCTAAAAGAAACACAGCACAACAACGCGTTGATTTCTTCGCGTCGACGATTCTTGAGGGATTTGCAAGTGCTCTTGACACAAAAATAAGATCCCTTCCTCCCTAAATGACTAATGAGGCCTTACAGCGAGCTGCGGGGGCTGTGGCTAATTTTCCCTGATGTCAAAGAAGTAAATGAGGAACCTGGCTGAAAAGTGCCCAGTGGGAACCAACGAGTGTGTGTAGCACACTCATTGGGACCTGGGTGCATACTAACACAGCAGTAGACTGCTCTCCGCATTTTTTAGACCTCACACATGCTTTACAAAGAGTGTTTCCTATCTTGTTTGCAGAAAACACAGTTGAAGTCATTACACCCAATCGAGTGCATTGCAGGTGAGTGGGACATCTTGCGAATCATTTTTAGGACATTCCTCGTTGCCTGCTTGGATTTTAGTCCTGTCGGCGCTGTCCCACATAGTCTCCTGTGTGTCGGAAAGGCAAATAAGTAGATGATGAATAACTACTGATCAATGAAACTATGACGCGTCAAATAGCTCTAGACCATGTCCAATACGTATTCAGCGCGCCCCCTAGGCCTTATAAACTCCTCCGAAGTCAGGATGTGCCAGGTCGCCAAAGATTAACGCGTTGTTGTGCCGTGTTTCTTTTAGAAATGATGTCGGCATCGCGGCTCGAACCCTTGACCTTGGCCAACTCATTTTTTTTTTTTTTTGGTGAGTGCCATTATTTATGAAAATTGCAATAATCTCACCTGAAATCCAATCATTATTCTGTGCCTTCCTGTGCCAGGTGTCTATGGGTTTTTGGGTCTCTGGAAACATCTGGGACATTCCCAACTGAAAATATTCACCGGAAATGCTGAACTGTCGGGCATATAAGTACTTGACAGAGAGGAAGCCTGGTCTTGTTTTAACAAGAAGCTGTGTTGTGGTGTTATGGTGTTTGTAAATTGTGAGGGAGCATGAACTGACTCAAGTAAGTAGCTGTTGATTTCTGTATAAGTAGGGCTGCTGAATAAAAGGGAAACAAGCCTTGTCGCCCTGAATAAAAATGCCTACCAAGTTTGTACAGGTGCAGCGGCCCCATGTAGCCAGTGATTCTTTTGCATCAGTAGACCTGTTGAATAAAAGGGAATTAGCCTCTGTGGATCTATGGGAGATCACCTCAGTGTTGTTCGGAAGAGCTCGCCTAGAATATATGTGAGGAGATGTGGGTTCGAATCCCACCGGAGGCATGTGCCAGTATTTTCTTTTGCCGCTGGCCTATATACATAGTCCGATGTGGAGTCGGAGAGGTCGTACGAGATTGCAGTTGTGCCGATAAAAGACTAGAGAATTCCTGTTGTATTGGTTCAAATTCGTTGTCATTCAACCCAAGAATATGTACCAGGGACCTAAATGCTGAGTGCGCCCGCCGTGAGGAGTGCATTTTTCTTTTGCTTTCCTCGGTGTTGAATTGCCATCAGGAAAAACGGATTTGCTACCAATCTCTGGAGAGCTCAGTAGCTCTGGTAGGGACTTGTCTACCAGTCTACCAGAGACTACCACAGCTACTGAGTGCTTCCTGCGCTACTGCAACAAGTCCCATTGCTTCCTGATGGCGAGTCTGTGGCCAGTGATTCAGAATCAGTTCAGATTTTTTGTTGGATTGGATGTGAGGGCGCCACTTTGCGGAATGAATAACTTTCTAGTAGCTGTTGATTCCCGTGTAGCTGTAAGTAGAGCCATTGAGTAGCCATCTGTGGATCAAGGTTAGATTACCGTATTGTCTCAATGTAGCACTACATGAGGAGATGTGGGTTCGAATCCCCGAATCCCACCAGAGGTATGGGTAGATATACAGGATTTTTGTTGCATGCAGGGGTGCTGGCCTGGTCCTCGGTGTTGAATTGCGAGTCTGTGGCCAGTGATTCAGAATCAGTTCAGATTTTTTTGTTGGATTGGATGTGGGGGCGCCACTTTGCCGAATGAATAACTTTCTAGTGGCTGTTGATTCCCATGTAGCTGTAAGTAGAGCCATTGAGTAGTCCTCTGTGGATCAAGGTTAGATCACCTCCGAGTCAGTATTGTCCCAATATCTATATAACAAAAGGGATGGGTCCCGTAAATAGATATCAATAACGCATATTTTTGATGGCAAACCGTACGCCGTTTCCTCAGCTCACTTTGGACTCCGTAAAGTGGATTTAGGTGTATTTGAGGACTGAGGGCGCTCCCTGGAGTCCTCCAACCTCTCTGGGACTGATACCTATTTATTTGAGGAGATGGAAAATTGAACTGGTTCAAGAAAACGGGAACGCAGGTAAGTTGAACGCTTTAAGGGTAGGGTTACATGTAGTTTGGTCACTGCTAACCCTTGCACACTGGGCCACAAGGAGCCAATCAAAGATTGGCGACGAGTGGCCGCGGCGAAAACTGTAAACAGCTCTGTAAACAGGAAGTGTAGATTTCAACAAGTTTATTGAGTGCAGTGTTTGAAGCAGGTAATCTGCACACATGAGTTTTGCAGACCCCGTAGCATTGCACGGGTCACTGCTAGTAGCACTACACGAGGAGATGTGGGTTCAAATCCCACCAGAGGGGTGGGTCAAAGAGGTTTAACAATTTTTGTCGCCTGCGAATGTGTCATCCTGATCGCGGAAACTCGGGGGGGTGCATTGTCGCAGCTCCAGAGAAATAAGTACTTACTTGACAGAGAAGGAGCCTCATTTCCTTTCAACGAGAAGGTTGTCCTGTGCTATGGTGTTTGTCATCCATTGACCCAAAGAGCTGTTGATTTCTGCATAAGTACTGTGGCTGCTGAACAAAAGGGAAACAAGCCTCTTCCTTGTCAATTGGTCAATCTTTCTTTCTGTTGCATAACAAGTAACCTGGGTCTCAAAGCCCAGTGCCCACCGTGTTTGTAAAGGCAGCAAGCAGCTAACACCCCGATGTAGCCAGCTGTTCTTTGGCATAAGTAGAGCTGTTGAACAGACAAAAGCAGCTTCTGTGGATCAAGGTAGATCACCTCAGAATTGTTCGTCTAACGAGATTGTGTATGAGGAGATGTGGGTTCAAATCCCACCAGAGGCATCAACTGCTTCCAACGTCTTTTTTTTGCTTTGCTCGGAGTTTGGTTCAGTTCGGATTTTTGTTGGATGCAAGGGTGCCACTTTTGTCGAAGGTGGTTCTGAATCACTTATCATAGCTGTTGATTCCCCGTAACTGTAAGTAGACCACCTGTTGAATAAAAGGGAAACAAGCTAGTCTCTCCAAGACAGACGCTATAAACAGTTGAGCTCGTTCCTCGCTAGTTTATAGTCTGTTAGTTACCGCGTCGATTAAGCGGCGTCTTGCGCTATCAGTGATTGATGGGGATGCAGAGCCAAACAACGCGTTCATGTCGACGCGTTTTGACGCCGTTCGACGTGAAGCCTCAAGGGAGGTGATTCCTTAGCCGCTGCTCAAGGATTCCACTCCAATCTGCGGTGGTTCTGGGCGAAATCCTTTCTAAATGTGGGTGAGGGACTGTTGGCCTGTGAAAACAGGGGCTTTTGTCAATTATATTCTACCCTCACCCAGGGAGAGGATTCTGAGACATCTTGATATGTTTAGAAGGCTAATAATACTGTCTCAGGTATTTGTGGTCACTGAAGGACTCTGGCGAGATGGACGACGTGTCAAGTCGCGTCCGGAGCATATCCCAAAATGGATGCTTATATAATAAGGCAGGACGCCTCTAGTGACGGCGTGGTAACTAATAGACTAGAAACAAGCTTCTGTGGATCAAGGTAGATCACCTCAGAATTATGGAGGCTCCGAACCTGAGTATCCATGAGGTGATGTGGGTTCAAATCCTACCAGAGGCATCAGCTTTCTTGAAAGTTCTTGCACTTTTTTCTTCTTGTTTTCCTCGGAGTTGGAGTTGTGGTCAGTGAATCTGAATCAGTTCAGATTTTTTTGTTGGATTGGATGTGAGAGCACCACCGCTTTGGCCGAAGGTGGTTCTGAGTAATTTGTCTAGTAGTGGGTGATTCCCGTGCAGCTGATTCCCGTGCAGCTGTAAGTAGAGCCGTTGAACAGGAGGGAATCAGCCTCTGTGGATCAAGGTTAGATCACCTCGGTACTGTGTTGCCTTCTTAGCCCTGGCATGAGGAGATGTGGGTTCGAATCCCACTGGAGGCCATAGTGAGGCCATATGCCAGTATTTTTCCTTGCCGTTGGCCTATGTACATAGTCCGATGTGGAGTCGGAGAGGTCGTACGAGATTGCAGTTGTGCCGATAAGAGACTAGAGAATTCCTGTTGTATTGATTCAAATTTGTTGTTGTTCATTCAACCCAAGAATATTTACCGGACCTGAACGCTGAGTGCGGCCGCCATGAGGAGTGCATTTTTCTTTTGCTTTCCTCGGCGTTGAATTCTGTGGCCAGTGAATCAGAATCAGCTCAGAATTTTGTTGGATTGGATGTAAGAGTGCCACCACTTTTGCCGCAGGTGGTTCTGAGTCACTTTTCAAGTAGTGAGTGATTCCTGTGTAAGTAACCTGTTGAATAGAAGGCAACCAGCCTCTGTGGATCAAGGTCAGATCACCTCAGTCCGGTGTTGTCTTCTTCACTCTACACGAGGAGATGTGGGTTCGAATCCTACCAGAGGCATCAGCTGGACCCTTCTGCATTTTTCTTTTGTTTTCCTCGGAGTTGAAGACTTGAAGTTATGGTCAGTGAATCTGAATTAGCTCAGAATTTTTTGTTGGATGTGCGGCGAGTGCCACTTTTGCCGGAGGCGGTTCGGAGCAACTTGTCTAGTATTAATTGAGGGTGATCTCGTACAGCTGTAAGTAGAACCATTGAATAAAGGGGAACTAGCCTCTGTGGATCAAGGTAGATCTAGGGAGGGTTGAAATCTTACACATGAAGAGATGTGGGTTCAAATCTCACCAGAGGCATGGGTATTTAGGAAATGGACAATTTTTGTTGCATGCAAAAGTGCTGTCCTGGTCGCGTAAGGGTGTGTGAATTGTGGCGGATCCAGAAGAATAAGTACTTGGCAGAGAAGAGTCTGGTCTTGTTTCTACGAGATGTCTTATGGTGTAACAGTGTTTGTGAGGGAGCATGAACTGACTCAAGCAGATGTGGATTCCTCCTGCATAAGTAGGGCTGCTGAATAAATGGGTAATAAGCCTCCTGCCAGTGGAAAGTTGATACTTGGTATTTTTTCTCTTGCATAAGTTTATTACCTGGGTGTCAGAACATACCATGTTCGTAAAGGTGCAGCAGCCCATGTAGCCAGCTGTTCTTCTGCATAAGGACTTGAATAGAAGGGAGCCAGCCTCTGTGGATCAAGGTTGGATCACCTCAGTGTTGTCCAACTGTAGTCACTCCCTTAGCCCTACATGAGGAGATGTGGGTTCGAATCCCACCGGGGGCATATGCTAGCTTCTGGTTTTTTTCCCCCTTTCTTCCATCGGAGTAAGTGAGTCCAGTCCGATGTGGAGTCGGAGAGGTTGTACGAGATTGCAGTTGTGCCGATAAAAGACTCGAGAGGTCTTGTCGTCTTTGATTCAAATTCGTCGTTGTAATTCAAGGATATTTACCGGGGACCCGAGGCTGGGTGCGGCCGCCGTGGGGAGTTTTGTGTGAGTGACGAGATGGATGTGTACCTCGCCTGTCCGCTCGCGGAACAACGAGAAGCCTGGAGCGCCAACACCGATCAGTCGCGCGCGTATCTTTTGAAGTTGTTCCTGCCAGCGCATCGCTGTTGTTGGCCCTGGCGTTGGGTCTTGTGGATGGATTGAGGATGGATGCAAGGCTGCTCCCCCTGCTCCCTGTACTGTAGTCCTGTAGATACTTGGCCTTGAAATAGACTGACCAGAATACAAGGAGAGGCCCGTGCGCATCAAGGACCCTTCTGTGATCAGTGGTTCTTTGACGTGGCCTCTGCGCATCCTTCGTTATCCTTCCCTCCTCCCGTCCTTTGTGCGTGTCTTTTTATTGCACCACCCCCACACACTCGTTGTTGTTTCCGGCTCGACACTCGTTGACTTTGCTCTCCTCCACCATTCCACCACCCTCTCTGCGCCGTGTATTATTTAAACCGTGTATGTCTCACCACACTGGCACGGGTGGGGCTGGGTTCAGCGCGCCGTACCCGCCGTACTCGTTTGATATCGACATGATGAAGGTGCGATTATCGGTTGCCATGTCCCATATTGCCTTCGCTCACTCCCATTCGCTCGCTTGTTTTCTGTCCTTTGTTTGGTTCCTCGTTCTCCTTTCCCCCTTGAATCCATCCATCCTCCTTCCACGATTCCCCTTCTCCGCCTCCGCCCCTTCGTTGTTCACCCCGGCCGCTTTCCTTCATTGCCGCCGCCTTGCTTGGGTCCCTTGCTTCGCCGACCTTTGCATTCCTTCTTCCTCCCCGCCCCCGTCGAAATTCCCCCAAAACGCCAGCGCTCGATGGACACCCCCGCGGGCCCCGACTCAAAAAAGGCCAGATGGTCCCCCACCTCCGGCTCCTCCCCCAACGCCTCCAACTCTAACCCCAACGCCGCATCCTCCTCCCCAAACACCGCCAACGCCGGCAACGCGTACGCGAACTACGGCTACGGCCCCGCCGCGGCGCAGGCCCAGGCGCAGTACGGCCAGCAGCAGCAGCTCTATGCGACGCCGCAGCTCAGCATCAACACCGCGTCCCTCAATGGCGCACAGCAGCAGGATGCGATGGCGGCGTTCCAGCAGGCGCAGGCTCAGCAGCAGCAGCAGCAACAGCAGCAGCAGAGCCCCGTGGTGGGGCAGGGCGGCGCGCCTGGGTCACCGTATGCGCAGTTTAACCCGTATGGGATGTGGGGACAGGGCGGATTCCAGGTGTGTGTGCGGTTGCCTTGCCTTCCCTTTTGTTTTTGGGATTCCTTTCGCTTTCGACCTTCACTCCTTCGTGCGTTCGACGCTTTTCGGGCGGGGGTGTTGCCACTAGCACGCGCATCACGCGCGCCCATCCGTCCATCCATCCCTGATTGCCTATCTCCCTTGGCGCTGTATACGCATCTTCCTCCCCTCTCCATTCCACCCCTGCCCATCCCTCTCTTTTTTTCGTTGTTGTTGTTTCGCGGGCGCCCATCCCCACCTTTCTTTTTTTTCTCGGGCGCTCCGCCGAGCCCGGATTGCCCGGTGTCCATGTCGATACCCACACAGAGACGGATGTACGCAAACGCCGCTCCGCTCCGTGATCGCGCTGGCAAAACTGGGCAGGGCAGCAGGGCTTTTGATGTCGCCGTCCGTGCGTGGGCCTGGATGTTTTCTTGTTTTGATTCTGTCACTGCGATGGACATGCTCAGTGTCCGCCTGCCCACGCCCGTCCTGCGCCTACGCCTTCAGTGTCCGCCCGCGTACGAGGTGTAGGCATCTATCCTACTGGGACCGGGTGCATCTTGCATCTTGGGGGTCGCCTTATCGCACCACGCGTTTTTTATTTCTTTTCTTTTCGTTGCTGCACTCCGGCTTTCTTTTCGTTTCCGTTTGCGCTTGAGCATGCATGCATGTTCGTGGGCGATGGATGATCAGCTGAGCTGATGCTCCATGCGCCGGCGTCTTTCCTTGCCTCCGTCACATTTTTCTTTTGGCCTCGGGATGGGGTCGGGGGCGATGGCGGCGTCGCATTTCCGTACTGTATGTACGGGCGCGTGTAGCTCGCTCCTCGTCCTTCCGCCTTGCGTGGCGTCCTTTACTTCCTTCCTTTTCTCATCATGAGCGCCTCGTCCTACCTTGTTTGCCATGAAACTAATAACTAACCGACCCCCCACCCCACCCCACCCAGGCCCCCAACCCCTCCGCGCACTCGCCCCAGCAACAATCCCAGCAGCAACAACAGCAGCAACAGCAATCGGCCCAATCGCCGCTACAGCGCCTGCCCTCGCTTAACCTTAATATTCCGGCTGCGCAGGTTCGTGCTTGCTCCCACCCTTTTCACCCCCACCTATCTACCTACCTATCTACCTACGACTCCCGCTAACGCTAACGCCCACCTTTAGGCGGTCTACGCCAACCAAAACCCCACCAACGCGCAGCCCCTCTCCTCCATGATGGGGCCCATGTCCGCCATGGGGATGGGGGGCATGGGTATGGGCGGGATGATGATGAGCCCCGGCGGCGTGGCGGGGACGACGGCGGGGGGGCGGACGGTGTATATTGGGAATTTGCCGCCGAGTGCGAGTGTTGATGAGTTGTTGAATTTGGGTGCGTGTGTGCTGCCTACTTTCCTTTACTACTGCTAAAAAAAAAAAACTATGCAGTCCACTTCGGCCCACTCGAGTCGATCCGGGTCCTGCCCGAAAAGTCGTGTGTCTTCCTATCGTTTTTGGACGCGCCGACTGCGGCGGCTTTTTTTGCGGATGCGAGTTTGAGGTGCGTGCGGGTCCTTGCTTTCCTTGCTTCCACTTTCCTTCCTCCCCCTTCCCCCGCGTCCTTTCGTTTCTACCCCCACGTATTGCTGCGTTTTCCTTCGTTTTCTACCCCCACGTACTCTTTCCCTCGCTTCGCTATCTTCGTCGTGTTAAGGTGGATACGATGCTGACTTGCGCGCGTCCACAGGAAACTCTCCCTGCACGGGCAGGAGCTCAAGGTCGGGTGGGGCAAGCCGAGTCCGGTCCCGGCGCAGGTGATGCAGGCGATTGCGCAGAGGTGTGTGGCTTTGCCTCCTCCCTTTCCCTCCCCCGCCATCTATACTCTTTGCATATTGAATACCGAATGCTAACGACTTGACCCTTCTCCCCCTCCCCCCCCACCCCTCCCCACCCACCCAGCGGCGCCTCCCGCAACGTCTACCTCGGCGGCCTCGAGGAGGGCATGACGGAGGAGGCTCTGCGCGACGAGCTGGGGCGCTTTGGGCTGATCGACCAGGTCAAGATTGTGCGGGATAAGAATATTGGGTTTGTGCATTTTTTGAGTATTAGTGTGGCTACGAAGGTGTGTGGTTTGTCTTTCCCCTGTTTGCGACCGTCGTCCCTCGTTCTTGCGACGTGAAAACTGGCGTTTTCACCCTCCCCCCACCTTCGCTTTCTTGTCTGCGGAAAAAACGGCGAACTCGCTGACGCTCACCCGCAGGTCGTGAACACCCTCCCAACGGACCCAGCATGGGCAGGCAAGCGCGTCAACTACGGCAAGGACCGCTGCGCGTACGTGCCCAAGTCGCAGCAGGCGGCGGCGCACCAGGCGCAGGCGGCCGCCGCGCAGAGCCTTATGGGGTTCAACTCGATGGCCGGGATGAATATGAATATGGGGATGATGGGGATGGGGGGGATGGGCGGGATGGGCGGGATGGGGATGAGTCCGGTTGTGGGGATGGGGGCGTGAGTCTCCTTCCCTTCCTTTCCACTCTTTCCTCTCTTTCCTTGCTTCCTTCGGGAAAAAAGGAGGGGAAAAGAAGAAGTGAGCTGACCGGCATTGTGTTTGCAGGTTCTCCTCCCCCATCGCGACCTCGAACCCCAACTCGTTCTCGTCGCCTGCGAATGCGAACGGCGGCGGCAATGCGGGGAATGGCAACGGCAACGCGAATGGTGGTGGGAATAACAATAACAACAACTACCAGAATAGCCCGGCGAGCGCGCATCCGAGTGGGGGAGGGGCGAATCCGTTTACTGGGGTGTGTGGTTTTTTTCTTTTTCTTTGGTCGTCTACGGGATCGACGTCTTCCTTTCACGCATTACTTCCTTTCCCCTTCGTACATCTCATCTTCCCCGTCCTCCTTCCCTTCCCTTCACGCCTCCTCCTTCCTTCGGTCCCTCTCCTCGCCTTGACGACACCCGTACTCACACCGTTCCCAGAACGCCACTCAAACCCCGACCTCCGCACAGCAGCCGCAAGGATCCCCGAGCGCCGGCTACGCGCCGTACACGCCCGCGCCCTTCAGCCCCGATGCGCTCAGCGCGATGATGGGGATGGGCATGTTTGGCGCGATGGGCGGTATGGGCGGCATGATGAGCCCGATGAGCCCGGGCGGGATGGGGATGTTGGGTGCGTGGTCGTTTTTTTGTCTCGCTTGGAGCGGGTTTCTCGTCGTCGTGATCGTTGTTCTGCTTCGCTCCTTTATGCTGCATCTCCCCCCTCCCCGCCTTTATGCCAAATCTTAACCGACGCTGACGACTCCTCTTTCAGGCGCCCTGCCCGGTCTTGGCATGGCCGGTGGCAACCGCACCGTCTACCTCGGCAACATCCACCCTGAGACCAGCACGGAGGACCTGTGCAACGCTATCCGCGGCGGCGTACTCCAGAGCGTGCGGTACATGGCCGACAAGCACATTGCTGTCAGTAGCGCCTCCCCTTGGCTTTCCGCTAGTACTCACATCCTTTCAGTTCATCACCTTCATCGACCCCGCGGCTGCGTTCACGTTCTTCCAGGTGTCGTCGTACCAGGGGCTCACGCTCAATAACCGA